ACATGTGCGCGGGAGGGGAAATGATCCGCGGGGATTACAACCCACGATGACAGAGAAGCCACGGTGCGCTGTAACGATGTCGATGACCAATAAGTACGATCTTGAAGGTTAGCTCGATGAGTGTCCATCAACTGAGTCAAAACCGGCTGCAGATCAACAAGAAGACTGGAACCATGCACATGCCAGCGACGAGCAAGTTTGCGAAGTTGCGTGGTGAAACGTTGATGTAACAAGTCGACATCACCGAAATACTGATCCTTCATTGATGCGGCCATGATGTCCATGTCAATGTCCGCATTGATGCGTGAGAACAACCATTACAGCATGTCCATGTGCTCGGTGTATATGGTGATCATCGATGTCCAAACAGCGACACGGAAAGGATGTTTCAGGAGTCCATCTGCGCTGCCATGTGCGGTAGTTGTAGATCTTGTCGCCCAACGTGGCACTGCGAGTTTCCACCACCCGGATCTTTGGAAGGAAAAGGGAGGGAAACAAATCACGATGAGAAGCAATCCAGCTTTGTAACCATGTGCCAAGTAGAGCTTTCCAATTCCGGACATGTAGAGGCGGTAGGAGTAGTTGTGTCAAAGTGGTGGGTGATTGTAGCTGTCGTTTGCGTAACACCTGGGCGAGGAGTTTCTGCGCCTTGGAGCGGAAGGGTTCGTTGACAAAGACGGAGAGCCGCAGAAAGTAGTAAAGCTGAGTAGGAGGGAAAGCTGCCGACAGAAGGTCACGCATGGCTTGGAACGATGCACCTGTATTGGATCCCAGCTGATAGAGAATAGAGTAATGGGCCTGAATGTCATCCAGCATGTCGGGACGTAGTTGCCGTTGGAGATCCGGATGTAGTCGTCGTCGAAAGCGTTTGTGCAAGCCGAGGGAAGTGGGAGACGACAACGAGTGACGTCGAAAATCAACGAGGTGTTCCCGGAAGCCCACCTTTCGCAGAAGTCTGTGTACCCAGGGTGCATTCAAATGCGGGCGTAGCAGGTATTGCCATTTGCTTTCCTGGACCCAAACCGAGGAAACGGGAAGTTTGATCTCAACCGGAACAGCACAGAAGAGCCAGTAAGTATTGGATCGCTTCCAGTAGTGAAGCGCGGGTTCGAAGAAGGCATGACGTCTTCGAAGTAGTTGTAGAAATTTGCGACTGCGTGAGTGTTCACGTCGTAGAACATCCTGATCAGTCGCACCAACGTAGTAAGGTGTGTGCCATGGGGAAAGTCTGATGTAGACGCACGGTTGTTGATGATGACCTGGATCGTGAATGAAGTCATAGAGGTCCGGAAATCGTGCCCGCAATGAGCGAAGATGTCGCGTGTCGGCAAAAGTGGAGTGCATGATTTCACACAAGAGAGAAGCCTTGTAGAAGTGAAGGACTTCAAAGAACGGCGGAAAGTAGCCATGATCTTGGGAAATGAGACGTTGTAAGAAACTGATCAATAAATAGGCAGTGCACCGACATCTATGAATCTCATACCTGTTGGCCACAGTGTGTTGAGAGTGTGACATAGCGTGATTCGGAATCTGAAGGGCAATCCGGACCACAACTAAGACTTCCAGAATGAGGCCCAACCACGGTAGTTGTGTGATTGATTCGTACTCATCAGCTGGTATCGACGGTGGTGGTAGTCCAGGGAAGCAGTATTGCCAGCACGTAGAGAACATGGTCAACGAGTGTAAAAAGTTGTCCAGAGACTGCCATTGTGCAACATCATCATAGATTCCACAGCGGCGAAGCTCATCCAACATGGTGAAAATGCAACCAATGAAATCTACCATAAGGCGGCGACATGGATACAAGCTGCACAGACAATCACGCACAAGGCAATGCAAGCACAACCAAGCACAAGATCAAACTGATGCAACGCAGAAAGATGACGGACGAGTTTTAACCTTGACTCATCCGTGACACGGTTGCCGCTCCGGGCTCATAAGAGAACGAAGGTCGTTAAGATGCCTGCTCATCAGCTGAGTAGGCGAGCGGTCACGATGAGGTGACTCAATGCCTTCTCAGTGAGCTTGGTGAGATAGCCGGGCTCCAGTCCCCACGAAGCCGCCATCGCCCCGAGAGTAGGTGCGTCGCCTTTCGGCATGCGTTGACGCGCTTGAAGGAGCTGCGTCGCCATGGAATCTAATGACTTGTTGCCGTTGAGCCGGGACGGGTGATTGGCCCACTTGACCAGTGACGTCAAAGTCGTGGTTGTGGGCGATTGCTTGAGATAAAGGCGTGGCTGGTCACTGGTCCATGTGTAGTACTTGACAACTTCTTCCGGCGTGCTGTGCATGGTGAGCAATTGTGACGCCGCCGGCTTGGACGGCGGTGAAGACACTCCGTGAAGAGACTGAATGATCCGGGGTTGCACCGCGCTATCAAACGACTTGCCATCAAGGGCCGCTGCGCTGGCTGTAGGGAGGGAGCTGGCAGGTGACGAGGATTGTGTGTGGTTGACCGGTGGCGGTGTAACCAACTCTGCATCATCTTTCTGGCTTGCCA